AGGGTCCCCTATTTTCGAAAACTCCCCCCACATGAATCGACCGATAGCAATGCCTCATCAAACTCAGGCACAGGTTCTGCGACTCGGATCTACAGTGGGTCCGTGAGACAACTTGGGTGTGGGGTTTAGGGTTTACGGAACAAGTGCACTTGCTCTGAGGCCCAAGCGATACCGGGTTCAGCAGCAGGGGCCTCCTTTGGCCCCTGATAAAATGCTGCGGCATGCCAAGCATTCAGCAGCGCTTTATGGTTTATCGGCGTTTACATGGTTGTGCATGTTCGTCTCAGACAGCGGTAGGCTGGCGTGCATCTCTTGTTTGATCCCTGTCTAGCTGCAGCTGACGACTGATTTGCAGCTATACAGAGGGCTACATCTCTCAAAACCTGTTAAAACGCACGGCTTCCCTTGAGGGATTTGCCATGCTCCGGACTGCCCACATGGACAGAGGCTTTTGCACTCGCCTTCAGAGGCAGCCACTGCAGATTCCTGCGTGGCAGCTTCAAAAGATGTGAGACTCCAGCACTCCTGCGCTGGCGGTAATTCTTTCACAGGCGGCACTGTTCCCTTGTTCCAATGCCTGCATGAGAAAGTCCGGCGCCTGCATCTCACGTGCCAGGTCAGCTGCTCGCCGATGACGTGAGTTAAAAACGTCCATCCTCGCCCCAGCAGCGACAAGAGCAGTAGCGGCTTCGTATTGCCCAGAGAGGATGGCCAACATCAACGGTGTGGCTCCATCGCTGTGGTATCCGAGCCTCGCCGGGAACCTCGGTGTGATGAAAGCCGACTCGTGCAGCACAAGGCTCACACTCTTCCGACTTAAAACCACAAGAAGAAAGGTTTAGGCTTTAGAGTTTAGTGCTTAGGCCCTGGATCCTAAACTCTAAAACCTAACCTCTGGATCCTAAACCCTGAACCCAAAGCTCTCAGCCGCACTTTGTGCCCTTGGCCCTTGCCAACTGGGACGCCGGCGACCGGCTGCCCATGCGATACCGGAGGCTCAGCACTCCGAAAAGGACCCCGATCACACTGCAAGGCTTCACCTGGGCCCTTCTTTGGCAAAGAAAATCTCTATCCTCTTTATAAACACCTTCCGTTAGTTGTTAGGAAACCACCCCCCCAACCTCAAAAACCAAGCAAGATTCCTAGGATTGACCCAGTCACGGCAAAAGAGCTATTCACGTCTGCTCGCGCGGAGAGCAGCTGCTGGATCATCTCGAAGGAGCCTCGGCTAAGCTGCTTCTTCATAAGGACAGCGACCAGCACGCAAAGCATGATCTAGAATGTGATCCATAAAAAACCAAGACATAAGATCCTGATGACGATAACGATGACGATGAGAAGGAAGAGGGCGATGATAACGATGAGGAAGGTGAAGATGGTTGCGATAATGAAAATCACAACGACGAGAAAGACAGATGCGTTGAGCTGAGGAAAATGAATATGTTGAGGCTGATGATGACGACAACATTAATGTCGACGATGAGGTTGATCGTGGAGATGAGGGGGATGAAGATCACAATGAAGAAGGAGGTGATGTTTATGTTATGATGACGACGATACCGACACGATGAAGGTGATGATGATTATGATGTGATGATCGCAATGCTACATGCAATGATTATGTTGATGCTTCCAATGATCATGTCGACACAAGTGAAGATGAGGGCTATCATCATACATGATTGTGCGTGCGAACGTAACGATGAGGAGGAGGATTCGGCATGCTGGCCGTCGTAAGAATCACTAGACGCCCTAAGCCCTAAACCGATGTTCGAGGAGCCTCCTGCAAACCAGCATGCCCAGTGCAATGAGCGAGTCAGCTGCGCCGACGTAGCTCCTGCTTCGATAAGCGCCTGTGCGGCATTTGGTGCTTCGCTTGTTGCGTGTGAAAGCTTCCGAAGCTATGACAACCATGCTCCACTGGAGCGATGTGAGCTGAAGGGGGGGTTCTCTTTAGGGTTTCAGCTGCTTTAGGTTTCACGGAACCCGATCGCAAACTGAACATTCAACTTCATGCCGGCCCTACCCCCATCACTTTGTGGCATCGCCACATGCGTTCCGGAAGGCACAAGCCGACTTCTGTCACCAGCACAACCCCCGATGCATGTTGCAACACCAACCGCTAAGACCTGTGCAAGCCGTGGCAAAACCCACCTGCATCACATTTTGCGATCCGCTCAGTGCGGCATTCTCAAAGGCCGTGTGGCCAGCTGCATTTTGAGCCTGGCATATGCTGAAGAACGAAAGGCTTCGAGACTAGCTGATGACGACAAAGCTGAACATTACATGATGAGTTCGGGCACTACCACCAGGTAGGACGATACGATAATCAGCAGTTCGACGACACAAAGGACCGACAATTCAAGATGACGTTGCGAAAGGTTCAGACTAGTACTCGCAGCACTGGAGGTAGTGGTGGTGGTGGTAGTAGTAGTAGTCGTAGTAGTAGTAGTAGAAGCAGTACTAGTACTGGTACTAATACTAGTACTAGTACTAGTACTAGTAGTGGTAGTTGTAGTGGTGGTAGTAGTCGT